GTACATTACTTATAACTAAACATGTCTTGAGGGTGAAATCCTCCAGTTTAAAGGAATATAACTATAAAAAAGAATAAAACATTTGGGAACCAGTTGAGCTGATCTGTGAGCAAATGCACTGGTCCACCAAGACAGTTCGATTACCAAAATGGTCAGACCAGTTAGCAGCACCATCAGGATAAACCAGATGGAGGAAACCAAATAAATGCAGGAACTCAGTACATCTCCTCCGGAGGCCAGTGTCAGATCAGTAAATCAGAACCTCAAAAATGATTAGGCAGAAATACAAATTACTGTGTAATATGGCGGACTTCTTGGATCAAAAGCTAAACTTACTGTTTATATTGATTCTGCACCACAGGAAACTACATTGAAGAGGATGAGGGATTTAGTATTTTAGTACATAACTTCTGTGCCAAGTCTTGGTATTATGGTGTAATTCTTATCTCTACGTTAATGGGATCCTTCATACATAAAGTGCGTTTTCACAGACAACATTTCTTTGGATGCAGAAAATGTCCTTAATCATTTTCATACCACGAAGGACCACCAAATCCAGTAAATATGTTTATACTTGAAAACAGTTCTTCATTTCTTGGTAAATTATTTTGAATTACTACCTAGCAATTTCAGTGTAGATAGTCCAGTTTCCATTAACATAATGGACAGAGCAATGATGTACTTTCCTCTTATTTTCTTTTGATTCTTGTCTGCAATTTATTCCACACTTTTTTTGGTATTTCCATGTAAAGGAAACCAAAAACACATTACCAAGGAATATTTAGACAAAAAATTTGGCTCCTCTGGTGTTTGCAGATCATATTCATACCAAACAAGGAGTCCTGAACTAAACGTCGATTACCAAAAAGTGCTGGAACCATCTATAAACTATCTAGCTGAATCATTCATATCCAAACATGTATTAAATTCTTGAAATTCTGACTTCTTTCTCACTGATGCTGGAAGTTTGAAGATGGATATCCAATTGCATTAAATTCCGGTCAAACAGATTGGATTAGTTGTACTCTACCTCCATAAGAGGGCATCTTTGCTTTCCTTCATTGCATAATATTGCATTCTAAGCATTAGTGAGTGTTCACCTCTCTGTCTCTTGATCTTTAACTTCTTTTTAACCTTTTACAGGAAAGGCTTTATTGGTACAACAACAGTGGTGACTGTAGCTGGAATTTGTAGCTCTTTGGCTCCAAGTTATATTTTATTTTTGGCATCGCGTTGTTTGCTTGGATTTGGTGTAGGAGGTGGCCTAGTGTTTGCAGCATGGTTTCTGGAGTTCATTCCTATAGCTAATAGAGGTGCTTGGATATTCGCCCTTACAGCTTTCTGGTCATCTGGATCTGTGGTCGAGGCTTTACTTGCATGGGTATGTATTTTATCTTTTGGTGAACCAATTGTTTTGTTATATAAGTTTCAATGGTACTTCTTAGTTTTGATGTCTCTGTTGAAAGAAGAAAAGTTAGTATCTTTGAATGGTTATCAAGCTTATCAGCACAGCAGTTAATTTCAGCAGTCAAAGCATAAGAACTCCCTGTTATTAAGGAATGAACAACTGTAAACTATTCTGCTTTAACATACTAAAAACCATTAAATTTCTCACTTGTATGCAGATTATCATGCCAAGATTTGGTTGGAGATGGCTACTAGCTTTATCTTGTTTACCATCATTGTTTGTACTTCTCCTTTCTGGCTTTACACCCGAGTCACCAAGGTATCTATGTGTGAAAGGAAAAATGGAGGAATCTCAGAAGATATTGGAAAAAGTAGCGACCATGAACAAGACAAAACTTCCCCCCGGAGTCCTTGTCTTAGATCGAACAAGAAACATGGACGAAGAACACTGTCCATTATTAGATACTTCTCTTCTCCCCTCAGCAAGAGAAAAGAAGCGTAGCTCAGGAATTTGCCTATCATCATTCGTCATGATATTCTCATCAAAACTATGGAAAACAACTCTTCTTCTATGGATTCTATACTTTGCGAGTACTTTTTCATACTATGGTATCGTATTATTGATCTCTGAGCTAAGTAGTAAACATAGTAATTGTGGTTCGACCAAAAACTTTTTGAAGAGTACCGAGGATTCTGGCCTCTATAGAGATGTATTTATCACATCTTTTGCAGGTGATGCTCTCTTTATGTTTTCATCATACATTTGCTCCTTAGAATTTGAACGACATTGACAACTAGTCCTGTCCATCATAATACCTGTTTTATGAATAACAAGATTTCCACTCTTTCCAGATTTAGCTGGGCTAGCAGTGTCTGCAGTTGTTGTTGACAGATTAGGCCGAAAGCTCACCGTGAAGATTTTCTTGGCACTGGGTTTTATTTTGCTTCTACCACTGGTTGTGCATCACAATGAGATTGCGACCACAGCTCTATTGTTTGGCTCACGCATGTCTGTTATGTCAGCATACAGTGTCATTGTTGTCTACTCAAGGGAGGTAAAGGCTTTGTCTTCTTTATGGTGCTCATTTCTTTCTCAATCAAGATGCTGCAGACCAAACTTGTTTTGGGCCTTTCTAATTAATACATTATCTATCAGAAATTTGACTTCTATTGGTTCAGTACGTGAAGCTAGAACTACAAGAAGAGTAACATGAAATGCCTTACAAATGAACAGAAGGTTCATTCTGGAATTCAGTAACTTATAATCTGAAGAATAAAGGACAAGAAGAAAGAAACTTTGACAAATAGAATGGTTCAAATGCTTAGAAGCCAAGCATATTCCCCCACTTGATGTCACACTTTCGTTACACCCTCTCAAGCATAGGAAAGATATATTTCCTAGTTACTAATTTTGCTGAGGCAAGCGTCATTTCTTCTTGAATGTAACTGAATCATCTACAAGAATTTAACACACAAGTGAAGAATTGTGTCTCAGCCTCTTGTGAAGCCTAGAGAAACTTTGCTTCGTTTTGGCCAGTTGAGCTTTGAAGCAAAGTTTAGGAATAGATCTCTCTGTACAAAATATGATCCTTACAACCTGTTTATATTTTACAGATATATCCAACTTCAGTGAGGGCAACTGGTGTTGGAAGTGCAACAGCTATTGGACGAATTGGTGGAATAATATGCCCTCTTGTAGCAGTTGGTTTAGTCAGGGATTGCCATCAAACAGCAGCAATACTTCTGTTTGAGGCTGTGATAGTTCTCACGGGATTCTGTACTCTTTTCTTTCCTTCAGAGACCAGTGGACAAGGTTTGACTGACGTTACAAGCCTGTCCAATGAGGAGTAGATTACACCTGATTAGGGCATGTATGGTTCCCTTTAAGTGCAATTAGGTACTGTTGTTGTTGTTTCTCTTTCAAGCTACGATATACACTTAGAAGCATAATTATATCAATATAGTATTAAATTGGTGTAAATTAATAAGATTCTCTTGGTCAATTATTTTAGCTAATTATAAATCCTGATTTTGAATAGCCAATTGTTTTGATGTTCTTGTTTGCTTTTGTCTTTGGATTGTAAAGTTTTTTATGAGCAAAAAAGCTAAAAAACAAAATTTATCAAAGAGTAACTTTTGCTGATTCTGATGATTCTCATTATTCTCTACAATCACTTTTCTATAATCAGCTTTTGTAAAATCTAAGGTAAAAAAGAACAAATCTAAAGTTATGGGAGTATACACATGTAATCAGCTTTTATTGAACACACATTCTTCTTGAAAAATATAACCTGAGATCACTGATGAAATCAAATAGGAAAAATTTTACTTCATTCTCTAGCCCTAGGCATTGGCGAGTTATGTTGCCTTCCCCCTCACCTCAACTTTTAAAATTATAAATGTGGTTATATATATTCTTAATTCTATGAATTTGTCTTACATATTATAAAAAACTCCTTTTATCTTTTAATCCCCCCCCCCCGGCGGCCTGGCCCTCCCCCAAAATTTTTTTTTTTCTAATTTCCTTCACTCTTTTTATCTTCTCAATCACTTTTTTATCTCACATATATTACATCACAAAAAGTGCTATAATAATTATTTCAAATAAATCATCCAAATAAACTCTTATCCAAACAAACTCAATATATTTTAAAGGATCACATAATTAGTTGTCTCACTCTATGACTTTGTCCATAGTTTATCAAGAAATTGTTTCCCGTTTGCACATTATTGGTCAAATTATTCTTTTGTCCCGCCCTTTTTATGATTTTTTTTCATTTACATCTCTAACTATGTAAACCGAAAAGTTTAGTCAATTATGAACTAAAGTTTGTTATAAAAAAAATTGTTGACTTAATTTCTATTCATTTCTAGTTTCATGTATGTTAAGGATCTTTATTAATCACATTCGCAAGCTTATTAACTAACCTAACAGTGCATCATATCTGCAAAACAATGCTGAAAGAAGCCACAAAAGTTTTCGTTGGGAAATAGGTAGGAACCATTACTTTCGTGGTTCCTGAGCTAAGTTCGCCAATGACTTCGTGAATCTTTGTCAATGACACGAAAATAATTGAACAACCAAACATTTTCTTTGTCAACCATGCCAGGCACTCTTATGTATATTCTTCGGCTTGCGTGTAGAAAGAGACTTGGCACCAAAGATAGGAATAGTTCTTGGGGCATCGAAGGGGATCCTGCTTGTGGGCTCTGTTCCTCGGACCAAGTGCAGGAATGGCCAGTTCAACTGTCCTTGAACAACATAACACTGTTTCAATAAATTATAATTCTTTTTGGGAGAACTGCACAAATAGTCCCTCACATATTGCAAATGTGAAAATTTCGTTCCTCAGATCGAAAATGATCAATTTTAGTCCTTATCAAATAAAAAAGGATCAATTTGAGTCCCTTTTCACTTTTCCGACTGATTTTTGCCCGGAATATCTCACGTGCACACCACGTGGCCAACTTTTCAAGGGTAAAAATGCCAAACCACTTATCTGTTGACCAAAACCAAAATGTAAAGGACGAATACTGCCCAAAATTCTTCTTCTTCTTCATTTTAACCAAACCCAAAAGCTGAGCCTCATCTCCATGGCAGAACCACCAACTTGTAATTGCGGTGTACCAGCTAGGGTGAAGACGTCGTGGACAGCTGAAAATCCAGGAAAGAGGTTCTACGGTTGCGCTTACTACGAAGTAAGTGTGCCCGATTTCTGTTTCTTTTTTCTTTTAGAAAATGTGAAATTTGAAGAGGTAATTTTGAACAGCATAATGGTGGTGGCGGCTGTGTCTATTTCAAGTGGTATGATACAAACAGTTGCGAGAGGTGCGATAAATTAGTGAGACACACAAGAAGATTGGCGAAGAGATTAAGAGAGTTGGAGGCAAAGGTGGAAGAAACAAGACGCAAGGAGAAAATGATGAAATTGTTCCTGTTTGCGGCCTTTGTTGTATTCATAGTGCAGAATTTATTGAGCAAAGATTGAGTTGTAACTGGCATTTGTGGTGCAGGTGGTGAACTGGGAACTGGGTGGTGAACTGGGAACTGGGTGGCTTTTATTTGTTGTACTTAGGTTGGGTTACGTTTAGTGGCCCTGTTGATTGTACAAATGGGAGTTGGAATGCAATTATGAAGCTTAAGTTCTTTCTGGTATATTGTGATTTTTTCTTGAATATGAGCTTACAGCATAAGATGGAATAAAAGTCTAACTTGAAAGATAATGCAGATGATAATGGCGATATTGCAGAGTTGGTAGGTAAAAGAATCTGTCAAAACTGCTGCTATACCGAAGCAGCAGCAGCAGGAGAGGGAAGAAAGCCGAAAGGGGAAGAAGGCATTAACACAAGATTTCATATTGCAGTCCACCATGTCTAGTCAGCCAAATATGAGACCAACAACATTAAAACCTGCCCTGCTAAAAACTTTTTAAGGATTAAGCCATATCAGAACTTGGCAAGGTTTCAACAACATTAACTAACTACTCAATATTTGTGTCAGTAAACAAAATTGGAGACAACATAATTGTATATTCATTCTTCAGTCCTGCCAATGTCATCTGCTGAGGGTTCAACTAACCAATAATCAGTCCCTTCAAAAATAAGAAGAGCATGCATTCCATTGCAATGAAAAAAAACAGTACATAACCGAGCCAAGTACATTCATTACAATACGCCTGTTATAAAAAAAAATGCAATGAACTAAGAAGTCAATTCCATTGCTCCAAAAAAAGGTCTGCTGAAGTCAAATACAAGACAAAAAGGCGAAAAATAATCCATTTGCAGCACTCTTTTGTGGATTCTTTATTATATCCACCATTTGCAGCACTCTTTTGTAGATATCTTTGCAGTCATCCCTCTTTGCAATAACAGGCCAGTCATCTAGGCCTTTTTAGCCCTCTTTGCAGCACTTTTAGAAGTAGATATATTTGCAGTATTCTTGGGCCTCTGATACAAAAAAAAACAATGAAGAAGTCATTACTTACAGTCAATTACTTACAGTCAATAGCAATTTTTGCAGTCTTAAAAGTAGATATCTTTGCAGTCTCTTTAGACTATGCACGTAGTAGACAATACTTACAGCCAATCCAGGTGGTTCCCATGGGTGTCTCTTATAGAGAGAGGCCAATGTTGAATCACAACTACTTCGAGTGTGTCCAAATCTCCGACATACACCACATCTGTACTTGACTTTCTTACCCTGACAATTGGCAACCAGAAATTCAAGTAAATAAATAATAGTATAGAAAGAAGTCAACATGCTATTATTAGTATGAACAAATAGAGAAACATGAACTGGAGATGTTGCATTCTTTGTTGTCAATGTTGAAGTAGGTGGTTGGCTGGTTGTAGGTTGATTTGGGATTTGACTGATGAGATCAAACAAGACTTGGTCATTTGTATCAGTCTCCAAGCCACTTGCACCAAAAACTGCTTCAGGTGTGAAATTGGACTGCTGAGGTTGGGACTGCTTGTTTGCACCAGGATTCATAGTGTTGGGAGTCTGCTGTTGTGATTGAGAGCCACTTGCACCAAAACTGCTTCAGGTGTGAAATTGGACTGCTGAGGTTGGGACTGCTTGTTTGCACCAGGATTCATAGTGTTGGGAGTCTGCTGTTGTGATTGAGAGCTACTTGTAACCGCAGCAGCTTGTTGCTGGACATTCTCTTGATCATGACTGTTTGGACACTTCCTACTATTGTGGCCCTTCTGTTTACACTTTCTGCACTTATAATTCATTAGACCAACTCTAGACAGTCTTTTTGTTTGTCCTCGAGAAGTTGTTGTAGCTGGTGGCTCATCTGGCTCTTTTCTTCTTACCTTCTTTGGCCGGCCAGGAAGCTTGATGGTTTCAGGTGGTAGGACAGGCCCCTGTTTCAAATCCTTCCACAAATGCTCACCATTGAGAGGATATATTATAGGCCCATATGCCTTCATATAGGCCTCTTTTGAGTAGCATTCATGAACAAAGTTCTCGGGAGACTCCTTTGTCAAAGTAATGGCACTTATTGCATGAGCACAAGGAATGCCATTTAGTTCCCACCTTCTACAACTACAAGTTCTGCTAGCCAAATTCACAGTGTACCTATCCCCATACATACATCTCACCTCATAATTCCAGTCCCCTGAAGGTGTAGCTATACATGCACTAGAAGCAGTTTTTACCTTTTCCAACTTTTTTAAAATTTTGGGACATACCTTTCCTATATACTTCTGCATCCACTCCCTCTTATTCTCCATTCTAACCATTAAATAAAGTCGTATTGTTTCCAACATACCTAGTATAGGCCTCTCCCTTGCTTCTAAAATGCTGGAGTTGAAATTCTCACAAAGATTGTTCAATAAAATGTCACATTCAGGGGAGGTTCTGAAGTAAGCTCTGGACCATTGCTGTGGTGTTGTGTTGTCAACCAACCATTGAAATGCACCCTCATCAACTGCTTTCAAAGCTTCCATCAAAGCCTTGAACAGATTTTTGTAAGGAGCTCTTGCAAGTGTCCAAATTCTCTCCTTTAATGCCAAACCACCATGCAGCTTTTTAAAGTTATTGTACATGTGTCTCACACACATCCTATGCTCCACATCTGGAAGCAACTCTTGAATAGCTTGAATCAGTCCCTTCAACAAATAAAAAGGTGAAACCAGATCATCAAATTAAAACTAGCAAACTCAGTTTAAAAAAATCCCAGAAAAATACACTAACATACCTTTTGTTTATCAGTAATAATTGTCCAATGATTTTCATCTCTGATTTGGAGGTCATTCAGCAATTCACCTACGAACCATTTCCAAGTCAGCTTGTTTTCTATTTCCACCACAGCATAGGCAATGGGGTACAACTGATCATTGGGGTCAATTCCTACAGCTGTAAGCAACACACCCTTGTGGGGCCCTCTAAGATGGCAGCCATCTAACCCGACAACAGGCCTACAACCACTTAAAAAGCTTGTCTTGCATGCATTGAGACAAATATACAACCTCTCAAACCTATCTTCTCCCTCATCATCTTCAACAGTGGTCATGAAAACATTTGAGCCAGGATTAGCCCTCTTTACTTCCCTACAATAGTTTCTTAGTTTGTTGTATTGGGCTTCATGTTCACCATTAACTAAACTCTCTGCCTTTTTCTTAGTTCTATAAGCTTGCCACCTAGAGATGTTGACATTAACATCAGTTTTCACTTTATCTGTGAGCGTACTCACCTTCATGTCGGCCATGGCAGCCAGCTCCTTTTTGTATCTATCAACCAAAAAAGTTGAATTTGCTAGTCCGTGGTCAAATGTCCTCCCACAACTGTGTTTACCTTGCATGCTCTTGATTTGAAAAGTCTTTTTGTCTAGCATAACAGCTGTAGAAACTTTCCAGCTACAGTCCTTGCAATAAGCCGTAGCTCTTCTGCCATCATTTTTACTGAATTTTATCTTCCTTCCGTGAACCACTCCATGGCTCTTGCATGCCTTCATGAACAACTGCTTACAAGTAAAAATCTGCCCAACCTCAAATTTGGGATCAATCATATCAGTTTCAGGGTTAAATTTTGGAAACTTAGCTCTTTTTCTTGGCTGATCTTCTTCTACTTCTGAGTCACACCAACTATCAAATTCATCTGAGTCAGTAGCATCTTCTTCCATCTCAGCATTCTCCACTTGACATGTTCTTTCCTTTGTACTCTTATTTGATTTGCAATTTTTGGCAATTTTCTCCCATTCAGCTTTTCTGTCTTTAACAGATTTTACTATGTCTTCTTCATCACTGAACTCATAGTCACTATCAATGAACTTGTCACCATCAGCACATTCCTCATCTTCCTCAGCATGTGTCTCCTTCTTACTCTTCTTCTTTTTCTCAACTTTTTCAGCCTGCTCTTTATTTGTTGAAAGATTTTTTCTTTAATGATTTCTCTTTTGGTGATTTGTTAGTAGAAGGTGCATTTTTTCCTGTATTCTGTACTTCTGAGTTTGTCCAATCTTGTTCTTTTCTAAAATTCTGATCAGGCCCTCCTATATTTGCTGCACTATCCCCTTTATCAGCAACTCTAATGTCAACTTCTGAAAGCATTTCACCTAAGTTCTCTCCTATGGCTGCTTCCTCTATGTGTTTATTAACTCCTGACTCACCAGCACCTATGCTATCCTTTTCACCCTCATTTTCTGATTAAGTTACAGGAATATTAGTCAACATTATTTCTTCTACATCAGAAGGTTCTTCATGCACCTTACTACCCTGTTGATTTTCCTTAGGATTAGTCCCCTCTTTTGGTTTACATGGTCCAGCTTCACATTCACTTATGGAGTAGGTTTTTAAGTGCACAAAGTATACATCAACCAAACCATATTTCACTCCGTCTCTAGCCAAATCCTGAGCAACATCTTCACATAACACATACACTAACCCATCCTCCATGTTCTTCCCGGGTATTAAGTAATAGTATATTACAGTAAACTCAGGATAACCCAGTTTTTCTGCAACCCTATCAAGTGTAAATATAGACCATCTGTCAGGATTGCAACAGTTAACAATTTTTACACTACCCCCGCGGTATTCTTTGTTCGGCAACTCAGTGAATTCACCTCCATAGTGGACCCTAATAGAAAATCGATTCATACCATCTGCCAACCATTTAGGAGACAGTTAACAACAAAAAAATTGTTTTGGGACCGACAGCCCATCTATGTAAAGCGACAACACAGCACAATACAAGGGACCACATGTACTTACAACAATTTAATACATAAAATTGACCACCAGCAACCCTAATCAATATAATAATGCTTCTTAACTGCACAAATCATGCTTATTTCAACTGTATTTAAACTATTCACATAGTATCTGACATCATTCCATAAATTTTACAGTTTAAGGTTTAGAAAAACATACCGTAATTTGGGATCCATTGAATGTCTTCTTCGTCCATCACTCTGGTATGCCTGTTTCTTCTTCGCTTTAGTCACTAACACTCCTTTCCATCAACATCAGTCCACTGCTGGGTAGTGGGTAGTGATAATTAAGTTTTTTTGTTTGGGTTGAGAGGAATCGGAGATGGAACGGTGAGTTAGTACCAAAATGGAGATTTTTTTTGGGCAGTATTCGTCCTTTACATTTTGGTTTTGGTCAACAGATAAGTGGTTTGGCATTTTTACCGTTGAAAAGTTGGCCACGTGGTGTGCACGTGAGATATTCCGGGCAAAAATCAGTCGGAAAAGTGAAAAGGGACTCAAATTGATCCTTTTTTATTTGATAAGGACTAAAATTGATCATTTTCGATCTGAGGGACGAAATTTTCACATTTGCAATATGTGAGGGACTATTTGTGCAGTTCTCCCATTCTTTTTTAACTGCTTATATAACCTTTTAATAGAAGTGTCTCGTGTATAGTAATTACGTGTCTGTTATAAAGTTTACTCGCTCACGTAGAATTACAAATTGCTCGAAGAATGTTACAACGTTCAAAAATGGTTGTAATGACAGCATTTGGGCTGGTGGCCACCACCAATGCATTAAGGTTTGGCCACAATTAAATGTGGCCTTGCTTAAAAAAATCCAAACGGGTGTCAGTCTCTTTCGAATTATTCCAAGACCTCTTCAGGCCCTCCCCTCCCTATAGTGCAGGAAGCTATCGTATCGAATGAAAAAAAAAAAAAAAAAAAGAAGAGACAACCGTTCCTACACCTCTCGCTTATTCCTCTACTTTCGAATCTGTTTCCCATTTATTCTTCCCCTGGTCCTATTTGATCAGCTATTAGTAGTATTTGGGAGACTGTTCAAAGCATTTGCTTGCTGTGTTATACGTGTTGCTTTTGCAGATATGGTCTACGTTATATTTAGGATATGGATATTGGAGTTGGTGTTCAGAAAAATGTTTACGTTAATTGACTTCATGAATCATGATCCAAACTCACCCATCATCTAATCGACACAAATCAAATCTAATGATAAATAAAAAACCAAGTTTGGGAACATCTCTTGAGTCTTTAAATTTTCGGACACTTATCATTTTAAGAAATCGTGTAACAAAAGATTCCAAGTCAGATTTTCTTTCAGTTGAAGATTGGCCATGTTATGGATTGATCCCCGTTGTCTGTGGATCTTACATTTCTCTCTTCGGTCTTCGGTCTTTTATGATCGTAGTTTGTTCTATACGTATTCTTTTCTGCTAATTGAACACAAAGATGGAAAGATTGATGAGTTGGTTTTCACGTATAGATAACAGCTAAAATCAAATTAGTCTAGACGATCAAGCAAATATATGAGACCAAGATAAGATCATACAAATTCACCGGAAAAGAGTCTGAAAAGAAAACGAGACAGCAGAAACACGTCCCAATGCTTTTTCCCTTTTCTTTTTCTTTTTTTGGTTATTCGTTAATACACATGAAGACATTATAACATGTGTTAATTCATTTCAATACAACGAATGTCTTTTTTATCAGATTCCTACTTTGCCATGCTAGTGAATCCAAAATCTTCTCATGGCATCAGAATGTACTTGAAGTGCTAGTCAGCTGGAAGGATTTTCAATTTCTTGTTGTTTCATTTTTCTTTAGTTGAATAGGGTTACTTGTAGAATAATTTGATTGCACAAGTGAGATGCATATTTTTTGGTCAAAATAGCTTAGAAAGGAGGAAATCTTATTTTATTTCAAGGAAGGAGGGCTACTTGCATATTTTTTTACAAATTATCTATCCATGATAAACTGATGATGACGGGCTCGAATTCGACAATTGTAAGGTGAACGAATCTTACTAGTTGAATTATATAGACTTAAGTGAAATATGTACAATACTATCGCAATGATTTTAACCTTTTATCTTTCAGTTGTATATATCTCTTGATCAAATTGAATTGCCCAACTGATAGAAAAATGAATTCCACTAATATAAGCCAAATTGGCTGTTGTAATTAAAGAAGTGAGGGACTGATTTGATACAAGTTATATGTTGTCCAATACACGAATTCTAACTAAAGACAGAAACCACCTATAAAAAAAATGGACAAAATTCATGGTACTTTTTTCTGATTATATATTAATGATGGCCCCCGTGAATTTTGTAAGTCAAGACTTGTCATTACTCATGAATGATACTGATTACTGATATTATGTTTTTCATTGAAACGTTAGGCCTTATAATTATGATCTCGAATTAACTTTGTTATCTGGCTTTGATTTGGCAACCGATGCTACATTGACACAAACAAACAAGAAAAGAATAATTGATTCTATTGTCTAAGGTGAGAAAAATCATGGATTATTTTTCGTTATTAAAGGGTTATTTTAAATTTACAAAGTTCTACAGATTTAAGTATTTTAAAAGATCAGTTAACTTCTCATACTCTCTGATCATTTCGTCTGTAGCAATGAAGGAGTTGTTGTTCCTTACACGCTACAACTGGTCAAATGAGTCTCGATTGAAACTTTCAAGCAATTGGATTATGCAGCAATCTGATGATGGCGACCTCTTCAGTATCTGGTCATGTAAACGCTTTCAGTAGGTGGAGCTGCAAAAAGGGCCATCCTACAAATTGAGGTAGAATTCTGTAGGCCTGAATTGAGATGTTTTATAAGTAGTACTTTTATCTTTACGTTATTGAATTGCATCTAGTATTGAATGATCATGCATATTTATTAGTGGGATTGCAGTTGTAAGTTGTGAGGAATCCCAGGTTTCGCAGTTTGCAACTGCTACATTAAAGAAAATCTCAACAACAATAGGCGGAGAAATTGAGGTAATGCTTTTGCATGTTGAGGATTAGCCAAGTTATGGATTTGTCCCTGTTGAATGGGAGCATGGTACATTTATAATTCTGCTCGTATTCTTTTCTGCGAATTGATTACGGAGCTGAGGTAAAGAATGATGATTCTTACCTTTAGTTTACTAGGATTTTTGCCATGGTGAATATGTATATGAAGTCATATGTTCTTGTACTACATGATAAATACTTGGTAGGTTGAACTGCTTTGCCAGGGTTTTGTTTAAATTGCAACTAGCGAATCAGCACTAGAATCTGCTGATTACTAGGTTTTAGTTTACTAGGTTTTCACGTTTTTTCATCCTTCTTAACCTGTACGATAAATCATTCATAGACTTGCCAGCAGAAAGCCTGCAAGATTTTTAAATAATGGGATCGCCTTTGTGAGGGTAGACAGCCTGAGCTTCTCTGCTGTTTGGTGGGTGCGAGCACCATCTGGATTAGTGAAAGAGTCTAGAAATCAAGCACCAAATATGGGATTAAATGGTCTGTTAAGCATCTGGTGAATTTTTAGTTGCAACATGGTCAGCATGAACTAATTGTTAAGGTGGTTATGCATATAACGATTATGGCTTTGGAGTAGTTTGGCACCCTTGGAAGGGTGATTCTTACTATCCTTTCATTCATTTTATGCAACAGAAACATTGAATTAGTGTATCACTTGGGTGTTGATATGACCTCAAACCTGAGTAGCACATCTACATGGTTTATAGTTTAACTAGAAAAAGGGGATTGAAACTCTTGTTCTCGAGTTCTTGGCTCTGCCTTATCTGACTAGTAAATCTTGCTGTTCTCTTCGTATCACTAATTATCTTTTCTTTGGTTCTTTAGATGGGGGATCAGAGCATTGGCTATACTCCAGAGGAAGCAATTTCCGTGATCGGATTTGGGAAGTTCCAGGGGCTCATACTGGTTTTTGCTGGACTTGGTTGGATTTCGGAGGCAATGGAAATGATGATTCTCTCGTTCGTTGGAGTAGCAGTCCAATCTGAGTGGGGACTCTCTCCTGCTGAAGAAAGCTTGATAACATCTGTGGTTTTTGCTGGTATGCTAGTTGGATGTTCCTTTTGGGGCATCATATCTGATGCATATGGAAGAAGGTAGTTTTGTATAATTCTTTTCACAATTTCAGATACAAGTGTCTCTGATGTTTGACAGAAAGCGACACATGTTGCAACTTGCTTCTTGCTTAACTTATGAGTAATAGTTGTATTAATGGATATCTGCCTCAATATTTCTTCAATACAAGGAAAATTATCTAAAATTTGTTGAACTAATTTCTGAGTTCCCACCAATAATTACAATGTGCCGGTGTTTTCAGCTGTTGCAACAGCTGACAAAACTCCTCCTCACACTGTTTTGGGGTAGGATCCTTCTACACACTTTACATATCTGGAAACATTTCTACTTGAGGTGAAATTACAGAAGAGTTGATTTTGTTTAACAAGTGATGAGAAACCTATTAGATGCTCTTGCTCAGAACTGAAACACAGACTTCAGTAAGCATAGGAGCTACTGCTGTACCATAGATGTTAGTGTTGGTTCTCAACTTGGGATGAATTCATGAATTTAATTTCTGTTCGACTAAAGCCCAAAGAAAACAGAAGAAATCAACAATGTTGTGGTTGTGAAGTCAACAAATCCTGGTGAAGCTTCTGCAGATTTCATTTCTTACTAAATGCAAATTTCCTTATAGGTAGAAGAACTCTGGTACAAAGAATATTCAATTTCTGATTAATAACTGTAAAAGATTATATTAAGGAAGGAATACATTTTTCCCAACTAAAATATATCATAAGGGTGAAAGCCACCAGTTTAAAGGAGAATACCTACAAAATAAAATACACATTGGAACCAGTTGAGCTGATTTGGGACTAAACGCATTGGTTCACCAAGACAACAAAAATAGTATGTCAGACCTGCTGAAAGCAGCATCAGGATAAACCAGATGGAGGAGTTAAAAAAATGCTAGACATGGGTCAGAACATGTCCTGCAGTGGCCAGTTTCCGATTAGTTGATTACAACCTCAAAAACAATTAGGCACAGATTTGGCAGGTATATACAAATTACCCTGTAGTAAGGCGAATTTTGTGGATCAAAAGCTAAACTTACTGTTTATACTGATTCAACATCACAGGAAAACACTTTATAGAGTATGAGGGCTTGTATCACATATCGTCTTGTGCCTAGTATTGTTATTGTGGTGTAATTCTTATCTGTTATTTAATGGGATTCTTCATAACATAAAGTGGATTTTCATAGGCACAGCACTCCTTTGGAAGCACAAAGTGTTCCTAATCTTTTTTTTTTTTTTGGCCTGCATTCAAGAGAGAAGCTGATGGCAACATAAAATCCACTAAATATGTTTTGGCATGTGAAACATGTTTCATCATGTCCTGAAAACTTATTTTGAAGCATTAACATACTTCAACAATGCACCAATGTGCTTTTCTCTTATTTTCAGTTGATTATTGTCTTCAATTCAGTCTGCAATTTGCTTCTTGGTATTTCCGTTTGAAGGGAATCAAAACTACACTACTAAGGAATATGGAGTCAAAATTTTGGCTTCTCTGGTGTTTCTATATCACATCCGTCCTAAACAAAGCGTCCTAAAGTAATGATGTGATTTAGCAAAAGTACCATAACCTTCTTCAAGGTATCTAGCTGAATCATGCTTAGCCAAACATGTGTGAAATTCCTAGCTTTCTGGCTTTAGGTGCTTTCCTTTCTTTGCATAGTATGGCATTTCTTCTCCTTCACCTCAGTTTATGGTCTTTCTGATCATTAATGGATTCTCGCTCTCTCTCTCTCTCTCTCCCACCTTTTACAGGAAAGCCTTTATTGGTACAATGATATTAGTGGCTGTTGCTGGAATCTGTAGCTCTTTATCCCCAAGTTATAAGTTATTTTTGGTATCTCGTTGTATGCTTGGTTTTGGTGTAGGAGGGGGACAAGTATTTGCAGCTTGGTTTATGGAGTTCATTCCCACAGCTAATAGAGGTGTTTGGGTAATCGCACTCACGAGTTTCTGGTCCTTTGGATCAGTAGTTGAAGCTTTACTTGCATGGGTATATATTGCATCTTTTGCTAAAGCTTAATTTTGTCACATAGTTTGTTTTCCTCTTAGTTTCAATTGCACTTCTGAGTTCTAATTTCACTGTTGAAAGAAGAAAGTAGCTATCTTTGGGTGGCCATTGAAATTATTAATTAGTGCAGGTAGTTTATTATAGCTCCCAAAGCATAAAAACTCCTTTTTTTCCAGGAATGAAGAATTTTTCTACTGTTCTGCTTTAACATACATATTACTCCCATTAAAGTTCTCCCTCCTTGCTTGCAGATTATCATGCCAAGATTTGGTTGGAGATGGCTAATAGGTTTATCTTGTTTACCATCTTTCATTGTACTCCTCCTTTCTGGGATTACACCTGAGTCGCCGAGGTATCTCTGTGTGAAAGGAAAAATGGAGGAAGCCCAGAAGATATTGGCAAAAGCAGCAGCCATGAACAAGACAATACTTCCTCCTGGAATGCTTATCTTAGATCGAACAGCAAAGATAGATGAACATTATCCGTTATTAGATACTTCTCTTCTGTCTTCAGCAAGAGAAAGGAAGTGTAGTTCAGATAATTACTTATCATCATTGTTTATGATATTCTCATCAAAACTAAGGAAGACAACTCTTCTCCTATGGTTTCTATACTTCTCTAATACATTTTCATACTACGGAATTGTATTATTGACATCTGAGCTGAGTAGTAACCAAATTAATTGTAGTTCAACCATTAACATTTTGAAGAGTGCAAAGGATGCTAGCCTCTACAGAGATGTATTTATCACATCTTTTGCAGGTGACATTCTGGAATTCGTTTTTATCCTACATTTGCTCCTAGAATTTGAACAACATTAAGAACTAATGCTGTTGCCTGTCCATTATAATACCTGTATTGTGATTTGTGAATATGCTTACATCGTAATGACATTTCCCTTTTTTTTTTAAACAGATTTAGCCGGGCTTGTTATATCTGCAGCTATTCTTGACAGATTAGGCCGGAAGCTCACCATGAAGATTTTATGTTCTTTAGGTTTTATTCTGCTTCTACCACTGGTTGTGCATCAGAATGAGATTCTGACAACAGCTCTATTATTTGGCTCTCGCATGTTTGTTATGTCATCATCCAATGCTGTTGTTATATACTCAAGGGAGGTAAACATCAAAACCTTTTTCTTCTTCACATTGCTCATTCTTTTTGTTGCTTCATACGCAGCAGACTGGACTTGAGACTAAGCCTTCATTTGCAAACATTATCTATCAAAAATTTGACTTCTGTTGCTTAAATGAAGATAAATGAAGGAGAGTAATATCAAATACATTATAAGTGAACAGCAGATATTTCATGAAATTCAATAACTCATAATCTGCAGAAACAAGGGCAAAGAAATAATGAACTTTGACCAGAAGTTTATTTCCTAGTTTTAAATTTTACTAACACGAACCCTTCCTTCTTGAATGGAGCTGAATTATCTACAAGAAGTTGAAGCAGAGAAAAAGAATTGTGTCTCAGCTTCTCGTAGCACACTAGCACCTAGAAAAAACAAAAAAAGTAACTTCACTTGAGTTTAGCTCGGACTAACGTAAAGAAAAAGGGCTCTAGCAAGTTCTTCTTACTTCCACAACTTTCCTCCCTTAGTTTGGGCCACTTTGACCTGGAAGCAAAGGTTAGAAAATAGATCTCAATGAACAGAAAATGACACTTAAAATCTGTTTGCATTTTACAGGTTTATCCAACTTCAGTGAGGGCAACTGGTGTTGGAAGTGCAACATCTATTGGAAGGATTGGTGGAATGATATGCCCTCTTGTAGCGGTTGGCTTAGTCAGGGATTGCCATCAAACAGCAGCAATTGTTCTTTTTGAGGCTGTGATACTTCTCACAGGATTCTGTATGCTTTTCTTACCTATAGAGACTGGTGGAAAAGGATTGAGTGACACCACAAGTTTGTTGAATGAGGAGTAGATTATCCTTTGCCATGACTGCAAGAGTTCATAATATCACAAAAGATTGGTAAATGCACCACTTGCATACCTGCTGGCAACAGACATTGATGGAAGAAAAAGATGACAATTTTTTCCCTCATCATGAATGATGGATTCCAAAGTTGAGCACGATCCAAATTGACTTCCACCCTAGCTTTTATTGTTCTCTGTTAAAATCCCATGTTGGTAAAACATGTATTTGTTCCATTTTTCATCACCTAATAAACACGCATTACAATTTGCTTTGCCTATTTTGTTTAGGAATTTGATCTGAAAGATGGATTATGTCTGCAGCTGACTGCAACATTCTGTCTATAGAATTTCAGTGATCTTTCACCTTATTCTTGCGAAAAGCAATTTGCTAAAAATGTCCTCACAAGTTTGAAAAGAAACTTGTTATTCGTAATTTTTGTTAAAAACACAAAAAGATGTGGTTTTTACTTTTCCATAATTATTAAAGAACCATTAAAAGAATGAACATTCTTTTCTACAAAATCAAATCCAAAATAACTAGTTACCTTTCCAATCTTCCCCAAAATTTTTCTAAAATTGTAGACACTAAAACAGTTATGGACACTAACCACTACATATATTTGACTAATGATACAATTTTTCTGGGATTAATTGTAATTTGCACCCCTGTATTATCATTATTTTGCAGTTTTCATTGCTCGATTGTTGAAAATTTTGCAGTTTTTCTGGGACAGAGTTAAGTTTTTTTTTTTTTTTAAGTAAAGTTAATTTTAAAGAATGTTTAAATAGTGAAAAATAATTAATATTGATGTATGCATTCACATGGCATGTATTTTATGCCTACTATCCTTACACATAATCAAGGTACTTAAGGCTTAAATATCATTATCATTACTTGATTGATAGAGCAATTATTGGGCATATTTTGCACTGTTATTTTGTCCTAATTTTGGCTACTTACTGTGCTAAGTATTGAGATTTTGCTCATATTTCATATTTGTATGAATTGTAGGTGGTTGGTGTAAAAAGTGCTTTCACGAGATAAATTTTCAGAAAACTCTCTATTTCATGGCGTACCTGCGACAGAAACCGAAGAGCTATACCTAAAAGCCGGACCGGGAGATTGGTAAAACAAGTGAAACATCGGAAAATCAAGAGTGAATCGCGTGGGCCGCGGAGATGCAGAGGATCAAAACCCTTTTTAAAGGGGAAGCAAAGTGCAGAGCCTTTTCCTTTCTTTTCGGCGGCTTCAAAGAAGGCTAAAAGCCAGATTCACGTCTAATAAAGAGAGGAGCTCTTAGCTTCCTTAGGCATCAGACGTTTCTTTTTCTTTTGCGGCGGCTAAAGAGCCAGAATCACGTGCAATCAATTAGTTCTAGCTTGAGTTTCAATTTGGGTCAGACGTTTGCTTTTTCTCTCTCAGCAGCAATTAGCAAAGCCAATTCACGTCTAATTGATACATTAGCTTTAATTTTCTTTTCCCATAGCGGTCAGACATTGTAGACTTCCGTTTGCTTTTTGGCTTTCACGCTTTTGACTCTTTTGCTTTTGCTTTGGCCTTATACAATTTTCGTTGGCTTTTGCGTTGTACTTTTCGGCTTCAGCCCGAACACCAACGCGGGGAAAAGGAAGACTTTTTCCTTTTTCTTGATCGTTCCAAATTCTTTGATGTTTGTTGCGGATGGAATCAATCAAATCACGCGAAATTGATACGATGAGGAGCGGGTAGTTTTCTCCTCTACCCAAAGGTCGATGCGAAGACGCGATTCATAATATCTGTAAAATCTAATCGAATCTTTATTATTTCTTCCAACTTGTTGCGATTCTTGTGTTTCCTGGATTAATTGTTCATGTGTATTTTATTAATTGAATATCAACGGCCGGGTATTTGATTTAATTTAATAGCCTACTGTCACATTAACTAAATTGAATCCGTAATTGTTCGTTTAGTTGGTATCTAGTGACAACCACCATAATTGGCTTTATATTGGGGGAATGCAAGATCTAATTTAAATAAACTCTCTTAGCATGTTTATTGGTTAGGGTTGGATTTTTCTAGCCTTAATGCAACTGGATAATTAAATTCCTACGGTCGTACCCAGAGTTGTTTTCTGGTTAGAGAAGCAGTCAATGGTCGTACCTTGACTGTCGAAAAAGTAAGGAAGAATTGGCTGTCAGAACTTGTTGATAGCTATAACCAACCTAGTGACGAATGAATGAAATATCCTTGCATCGATGATCATTTAATTGGACCGTGCCTGAAAAGTTGATCCTTTGGGTAGAATTTTATTGATTGCTATTTTTAGTAAATTGTACTTGTGGAGTTATCTTTTGAATTTTGTTTATTTTATTTTCATTTTCATCCCATTAATCATCTCCCAATTTTATTATATTGACTTGGAAAGAAACAACTTCATACCCGTTCCCTGTGGAATCGACCCTACTTACCATTGTATGCGAATTTAGTATTTTTATAGACAATTTTGGTATATCGGATCAAGCAAACTCTTCGGAAATATGGTGAATCAAATAACCCATTGCACACCTAAGGTCCCGCTCCAGTACTTGGATTTGTTCTATAATTAATTGTGGTGGTAATTAGGACTTTTTAGTAATTATTATTGCACAGGTTCGGCACCCATCATTACTATATAAAAGGTATGATGAGTCTTGGCAATAGGGGGTGTAAATGTAAACATATTTTGATCTTAGTTTTTGTTATGTCTAAATAACCCTCATATCTTTTAATTAGAGTTATTGCATTTCAACCATGACACTGATATAAAAAATTGAAAAGTTTCAAGAAATTACATCTAAAAAATGTTGTTAATTAAAATTAAAGGCTGTCCATATACAACTATATTCACCAATCATTTTCATTATCTCCAATTATTGTATGTGTTAAAATTATCTCCAATTATTATATTCCTATGCGTGATAATTAAAGTTAACTATATTTGATATACATATTCGTTTAGAAGAAAATCATGATATTAATAAGAAGACAAAACATTATAACAAATTAATGAGAAAATAAAAGGTTAAATTGATGATTAACTTCACTATAATATGTTATATTGACTAAGAAAACTTCAAAAAAAATTATGGATAATTATAAAAAAATATAACAGAAAAGGTTTACAACTACTTGAATTGAACAAAATTTGTTGTATCCAAATCATAATGTTTTAGTATGTATTTTGTTCAGGTTTTGTTGTATATACTAGTTTGACACAACATAGAAAATTTCCTCCCCTTATTATCACAATCCAAGAAAAATATGCAACAACTTAGTTTAGATATGATAATCTTCCATTTTGAGAGTTCAATAAACTTTTAATTGCTTTGTATATAATAAACATTTTCTACATGTAACAGTTGCTTGATTTTGTTTTATTATATGGTTTCTTAGTCAATATTATACCAACAACTTAGTTTAAATATAATAATCTTCCATTTTCAGAAATTTTTTAACTGTGTAAAATGCACAATAAACATTTTGTACAGTTATCATTTATTTAATTTTGTTCATTACATAGTTCTTTAGTTTATATTATGCCAAGAATCATAGTTTTGTACAGAAATTTAATATATTATATCTTAAAAAGATATATTCACGTGCAAAACACATGAGTTATTACTAGCAGTAGTGATAAAAGGATAAGATTGAGACTCTCACAACTAGTTAGAAATTTGTACTAAATTTTAAAGTCTCACAAATCATAAGTTCCGTCTAGCATTTAAACTTCTGCACGTCGTGATTATTTTTGGAATGGTGGATCTTTCCAATTACTATTATTTCGTGATGGAAACAATAATGTGTTTGGATTGCTGAATTATTTCATCTAATATTTTGTTTGTATCATATACATATTTTTTAATTTACTTTTTTATATTTTTAATTATATTTTTATCTCACATACATCACATCACAAAAAAAATTACAGTAATTATTTCAAATAATATTTTAAATAATACTCTATCCAAACAGTTCAGTATACATCAAATTATTATTATACATTTTTCTACGGAAACTCCACAGCTAGCAACTCCCGTGATAGCAATCAATGACTTTCGTTGGTTTCATGCCATTCGTTAGAAAGTTATGGGTCCCAAGGCAGTGAATGTCTATGATTTTTTTTTTGTTTTTTGTTTTTTTGTCCATGATGAATATTCTGCTCCCGAAAACAAAAAGTCGCGTACGCTCTTATGGGCCTATGACTCCCTGACTCTATTGGCCAATGATACACACATTTGGCAAAGTACAAGTGGACAACCTGTAAGAGAAGGACAGCTCCTGATCTTTGTTCAATTTATGTATTCAAGAACAAATTTGCTACGAAAGCATTAGAATCAGAATTGACTGATCAATTGTTAATTTGCCTTCTTCTTTTTCCATCCATTTGTCAAGAAGGGTGAGCCAAAATCCTGAAATTTGTTCTTCCACATGCAATTGAATTGAGACGCTCTTGAATAAAAATTGCTACTCTTGGCTTTTCTTGGTCAACCCATTAGAGATTTGGGACCATTCTCTCCAAGATTCATTCTTTATCGGTTTATTGAGGAAGGGAGGGAATTTTTTTTTTTTTGGGAACTTCAAGTAAGAGATTTATTAGGGTTCAAGAGACTCGAGTCAAGAACATTGATTTTTAAGTTTAAGTGGGATTCTATTTCAGCTGCTTTTTTTTTCCTGGTAATAGCATCTATCGATGCATCCGCAGTTCGATCTTTTATTTCCTCCCTTAATGCTTCCAGTAGAACGAACAATCTATTACTTCTGGTGATGTTCAGGAGCTCTGTAACATGTCCTGTGTAATGGCTTCTGTTAGATATTTTTAGGTGGATATATCATGAATATTGAAACTGTTGCATTGGAATCCTAGTAGACAAGTACATATTATCTTTCTAAAGCCATTGTTCAGTTCATGAATTGTTAAGGTCAAAGAGGCTATTGAACAAATTAATATTGACAACTGAATCAGCTGTTTAGGTCAGAAAATATGCTTTTGAACGACTTGATTGAACTTCTGCTTTCTTGTCTTTGTAGGATTCTATATTTGCTATTTAAACCAGTTTAAAATGTGAAGCTTCCTCCTCTCTTCTGTATAGTTACAGATTTATCTCTTTTCAGGTGTTGTGGAGGATTATTACTTGAAAAGAATTTGAGGCTACGTAAATTGTCTCTCTCATTACTGCTATTATTGCTTCTAATCTTTACAGGCTTAGTGCAATTTTTGGAGGCCCGTTCCTGATTGCTAAGTGGTGTTGCATGCAGAGAAAATAAATTTTTCACGGTAAAGAAGTTGCAACTTTGATGATGCTTTTGGAGTCTTCTTTTCGTAGTTTTCACCTAACCTGAAATTGTCACTTCTTAAAATTGTTTCTATTTTGTTATTGTTTTACTTTGAATTGTAAAAGCTTTACAGTACATGGAGGAATTCCAGACTAGTACCACAGATACTGAAGTAACACAATGGAGCTTCAATTTTTTTCTTCTTCCTGAAATCTCGTTCCAACTTCCAAGCATATTTTTACAGAAAAATAGTTTGAGTTCCAAGTGCAGATTGCCAGTGCTTTGGGTAGGCAGCCCAAATTGTAAGATCATAAACCAAGCTCAAGTTGTACATCTTTAAGTCAAGCGACTGACGGTTTAACTCATCAACAGCTTGAACTTTTGTTGCTGACTTGCAGCACCTTTTTCCGGCCCTCAGGTGTTAAAAAGTAACAGAAATGATGCCTTAAATATTGTCATTGTAAAGGGCAAAAAGTCATCAGCTTGAAATGTGCATGAGTGGTATCAAATTTTTCAAAATGTGTTGCAACATTTTAGGGTACAGTTTCAAGCTCAAGTATGCGGCACTGGACCTCTGTATACACACTGAACTACTGTAACAACATAATGCATTCATATAATATACATTTCAGCAGCTAAGTCTACTGATTCTTAAGCACTGAAAGAAAAGCTAGCCTAGCTTTGCATGCAGCAACGAAAAATTCTCAATTTGTTTCTTCCTCTTGCCGAGTGTACTGCTGATATTCTATGCTAATTGGCTTTTAGATGGGAGATCCAAGCTCTGTACATACAGTGGATGAAGCCCTTTCGACTATTGGTTTCGGAAATTTCCAGACGGTTTTGCTTCTTTATGGTGCACTTGGATGGGTTGCAGAAGCAATGGAATTGATGATTCTCTCCTTCATTGGACCTGTACTTCAGTCTGAATGGGGACTCTCTTCTAGTAAAGAAAGCCTCATATCAACAGTTGTTTTTGCTGGCATGTTGATTGGCGCATATTTGTGGGGTCATATATCAGACAACTGGGGAAGAAAGTAGGCATTCTTTACTCCCCTCCCTATCTCTTCGAGTCTCAAAATTTTATACTACTTCTGAGCTTCATTCCTGAAGTGATAGGATTTCTGTTCCTTTATATTCTTTTCTTTTTTGGCAAAGCATTTAGTCTTCCAATAGTGGTTGACTTAATACCAACAATTCGCAGTGTGCTATAGATCTTGCAATGTACTGTTTGTTGTAAACTTTGATTTTGTTCACTTCCTTCGGCTTTGCTTGCCTTTTCTACCATTTCTAGGAAGGGATTTCTTGGGGCAGCTATACTTAGTGCCGGTGCTGGACTGTTGAGCGCTTTCTCACCAAATTACATAACATTCGTCACTTGTCGATTTTTTGCTGGGATTGGTTTAGCAGCTGGATACTTATTTACATCATGGTTCTTAGAGTTTGTCCCTACTTCAAACAGAGGTTCTTGGATGATGATTTTCTCAAGTTTCTGGACAGTTGGAACAATATTTGAAGCTTCTCTTGCATGGGTGTGCCTATATTTCTAAATTCTTTTAGTCAAATGCTTTTTCTCTTTTGTTGTTTACCTTCTTACGTTCTATCTGTTTGAGGTTAAACATAACGATTTTCTATATTCTACTTGCTGTGACAAGCTTAGATTGGGTGAAATGTATTATACTCTCCTTCTAACCTTACAACCTATAACTTGCTGTGATGATGATTTTCTCAAGTTTCTGGACAGTTGGAACAATATTTGAAGCTTCTCTTGCATGGGTGTGCCTATATTTCTAAATTCTTTTAGTCAAATGCTTTTTCTCTTTTGTTGTTTACCTTCTTACGTTCTATCTGTTTGAGGTTAAACATAACGATTTTCTATATTCTACTTGCTGTGACAAGCTTAGATTGGGTGAAATGTATTATACTCTCCTTCTAACCTTACAACCTATAACCACCAAGGAATTGTTCTCTCCTTGCAAGATTGAGAAGGTTAGTGGGAAAAGTTTTCTTCCCAGTATCCTGATTTTACATTAGGAGGGAAACTTGACCTAAATCTAACAAAGGTGCCTAAGCTTCAAAGTACTTGATTTGCTAATGTCCAATGCTCCTTGAATCCTATCTATGGCCACAAGTATTACACGCCTCAAAAAAGAAAAGAAAGGGAGGGCAATGCATGATCTCTGAATAAATAAAAACGACCTTTAGAATATAGACTTCCCCCTTCATCAGTTGTGGATTAATCAGGCTTTACAGTATTAAAGTTCTGATGTGTATTCACCTCCTTTCTTGCAGTTTGTCTTGCCAAGATGGGGATGGAGGTTGCTACTTGTGCTGTCTTCTGTGCCATATTTTCTTGTGCTTCTGTTTTACAAATGTGTACCCGAGTCTCCACGGTATCTAAGTGCAAAAGGTAGACTGAAAGAAGCACATGAAATTTTGGAGAAAGCAGCACAGCTTAACCGAATGAAACTTCCCTCTGATACCCTTGTTTCTGATCAAGTACAGAACTTGGATGAAGGATTGTCTCTTGTGGAAGAGACACAGTTGCTTTCCTCTTCGCAGAACGAACTACTTGAACCTAGAAATAGATGCCGGCCGCCAACCCTACTTTCACTCTTTTCACAAAAATATATCAGAACAACTCTTCTACTGTGGTTTTTATATTTTGCAAACACATTCTCATATTATGGCGTTATATTGCTGACTTCTCAGCTCAGCTCCATGACAAATAAATGCGGATCAATCACCTTCCTTTCAGTGGGAAGCCAGGATTCTCGCCTTTATATAAATGTCTTTCTTACAAGTTTGGCAGGTAGAAATTTTGATTTTACCACACATTTTTTATGATTAGCTTAATAGTTGGCAATTGGGGGTTATCATGACTTGAAGTTGTTCTGTTCTTCAGAGGTTCCTGGACTTGTTTTAGCAGCATTTATAGTGGACAGAGTCGGTCGCAAAGTCTCCATGGTGATCATGTTTACTCTAGGTTTCATACTCCTATTTCCACTAGTAGCCCAACAAAATGGAGTATTGACTACAGCTTTGTTGTTTGGAGCACGCATGTTTGTTTCAGCTACCTTTGAAGTTGCTTGTGTTTATGCCCCGGAGGTAAGTCTTTGGCCAGCCTCCCTCTGTAAACATGCATATTTATTCCATGTGAAGTATCTCTGTCCCCTTGAATGTTCTGCTAAGCACACTAAGAAACACACAAGCAAATCAAATGCCCTTTCAGGGCGCTCTTATTCTTGATTTCATATCAGTAACATTTCATTGTGAGGGGCATGGCATGGTGATGATATCTGATATGAGTCTTCGACTCCTCGTTTCGCAGAAGGGTACATTGAAACAAGTATTTGGTAGTGATTTTTGCATGGATCCATGTGAAATTTTGATATAAAGTTTCTCGATTCATACATTTTGTTAATACCCTTCTTGTCAATCTATGCTGTTCTTGGCCATTGCAACATAAACACTACAATCCTGGGTAGTTCTTGTTAATAGTTGGGTGGTTCTAATTGCCATCTTTTCACATCCTGATTACAGTTCAATCCATATTATTGTTCACAATCCTTCTTTGTTGGCAGGTATATCCTACTGATATCAGAGCAAGTGCCGTCGGGCTTACAACTTCTATGGGAAGAATTGGTGGCATGCTATGCCCTCTTGTTGCCGTTGCGTTGGTCAGTGATTGCCATCAAACAGCAGCAGTTTTTCTGATCTTGCAATGCAGCACTCTCTGTGCATTTTTGCCATTTCTTGTCTGAGTCCGTGCATCAGCCCGTAGTTGAATAGATCTCTTTAAGAATGTGTGGTGTTGTGCCTCAATAAATTTTCATTTGGGCAAAATATGTTTTTCTTAGTTGCCATCAGTGTCCCCTGTTATCTCCCTTGCTCCTATTACTTCAGACTTGAAAGTAGTTTAGGATTTTGGATCCCTGTTTGTTCTCGTCTTTCTATACTACCATAACGTTGAGACTTGAAAGCAGTTCAGAATTCATACGTCTGCAGTACTTTTCCTTCTCAAACAGGGTAAATGTTCTTATTCCTGGTACAAAATCCTCACTGCCCAGCTACGACCACGACCAAACCCCAATCGAAAAAGAAGAGCAAATTTTCTGTTATCATTTGAGCATACAACAGAAGAACATATAAGAAGCGCTAATAGAAAGAAGAAAGTTCAAAATTTTGCTACTGTTATTCAAAAATCATTATCTAATCTTACAAAGATTATACACGTTTCAGATGCTCTTAACAGCAGATGTGCATCACCTTGCGGCCTCTGCTCTACTGCAATTGGTTTCTTCCTGATCTCTTACAGTGTGTAGACACTTCTAAGCCTGGCTAAAAGTACTTAAGGAAAAATGAAAGTACAAGAAAAGCCTATACTCTCAATCCCACCTGGTGTAGTAGAGCAATCCCTCTCTGAGAAATACAATGTTAAGATACATCCTAGAAAGCTCAGTTGATCTTGGGCTTTGGTCTTCTTGGTCTTAAAATGACCCAGAGTACGACAAGGACGATCAAAAAAGCAGGAACGGTTGTCACGTCAAATTCAACCTTAACTTTCCTCTGCCTTGTGCAATGAATTGGGTGGAGAGTGGCAAGAGTTGAATTTACGTAATCGGCAAAACTGCAAGAGGAGGAATATCATATTCAGTGAATCAGTGAACATGAACGAGAGAGGAGAAAATCTAAATGTGCGACGTTCTGGTGAAAACTCTTAACCTCCTTTGTGTAAATCCATTAGCTGTCAAAAACTTTTGCTAGCTTAGAAAGAGAAAAAGTTTATAACAGTGACATCTATGTGTTCAGTGAATTCCATCCATAGCAGCAGCCCATTTCCTCCCTCAAGCAAATCTCAATTTCAAAAGCTGAAATGTATGTACTCAAACAACCATTCACAGTTCATCATTAAGACGTTCAACATCAATGCTCACCCTTTTGATGCATCCTCCAGTGTATTAAGTAGTCCCATGGCATTGTCATACCGTAGTTCTGCAGTGACGGTTGAAATCTGAAAAAAAAAAAAAAATTATGTGTAACTTTGAGAACGGTCCTAAATACTTGGCTTTGAGAAAACTAGAAATAGAATTGACGATATTGCTGAATTAAATTGCATGGCACATACTCTTCTCCATAGGCTAACGACATAGTTATATTTGTTCACCAACTCACGCTCCATAGATTGAAAGGCCTTGAAAGTCTGTTCCGCTGGTTGCTTGTTAAGTGTTCAACAAATTGGGTAACCGATAATACAGGAATCTTTCACACTAAAAGTAAGGAAAAAGTTATTTGAGCAGAATTCCAGGGCTTCTGCTTTTTTGTCAAGTTCCAAAATGCCCATTCTGACACGAAAATGAAGAAAAAAGAACCTGCAAACTATAGCCAGCAGTCCCGTTTTGCAATAATAAGACATCAGTGTAGCAGAAGAAAAAAAAAAACTTTTTCAATAAATTCTCTGAAGGCATAGCGGGCTATACTCACAAAGCTTATTGCCAGGCAGATCTTAACGAATGAATTTATTTTGTTGGATTAATATGAACTAAACATTACCATGAAGAAAGGATACATGTACGCTCGACAACAAGAAGATGGATTGCAGAATTAACAATTTGTATTGACTCCTCAAGAGTTGTGAGTATATAGCTCCGAGCAATGGTATCAGACTGGAACTTAGAAATATGCCAACCTTGAGAGGTGATGGATAAAGGATTGCAACCTACTGACCAAATCCAGTCCTGTGGCAGAAAAGGAAACATGTGAATACAGGCTGTCTTATAAGTCTCGGCTCCAACACTAAAATCCGTGAGTCATGGAAAAAATGTCCCCTTAAAAGTAGTTTTAATTTCTTTCCACTTCTTAAAGAGGAAATATAATTGATGCTTGCACAGCCAAATTACTTTTATTGAGCACAAGGATTAAAACATTCGATAGTTGGAAACCTCAATCCCCTAATGCAAATAAACATGTAAACACAAGTAGGCAGTAGAGGTTAACAACCATTAGGCAAAAATCAAACTCAAACAAAGGTAAGAATTTCAGATAGCGGCAAGAGCTTTAGAGCAATTCGACTTCAAAAATCATATTATAATCTGGATCAAGTTCCTTGTTCATCGCTGACAATTTTAAGTCCTCTTAACTGTTCATATGTGACAGAAAAAGTTTATTCCCTAGCAAAAAAGAGTGAATATCCAGGCCTCTTCAACCAAATACTGAGCTTAGAAGAGCTTCAGCATTCCATAAATTTTTATGGATATTCATCACAGAATAAATATAGATGCTATGGTTCACCTCTGTTATTCCAGACAACAATTTCATTATGCAAAATTTAAAAAATATTCATTTCTCGGATAATGTGTTCCTAAGTTCTAAGTCATTCAAGTGACACAACTAGTATCTTAACTGCACGACTATTTGTTAAACAAAATTTTATAGCAGGAAAATGAACTACATGGCAACATTCAATATAGTGATGCACAACTTGATTACTAACTGGAAATTTTGCCAAATCATGGGACTTTGAGAAAACAGCGTATTGTGAATGTTACATTTGGAAGGCTATTTTATGTAACGACAGAAAAGGAAATAACCATTGGGAATCGGGTCATCAGAACATTACAACACATTATTTTCATTCACCAGACACTGAAAACTCTCATGTTTTAACTCATTAAGTTAGCCAAAATACTGCCATCCTGAATAAACGATACAGTACTAAAAGATAAAATTATGAATCGTATACCAGGATCTTCTGACAAACTAGTTGCAAGTCACAGTTCCAAGTGATGTGATGGTCTTGTCAGGTTATTTCTTAAAAAATAACCTCAAACATTGCCAAAAGCTTCAACATTGGCACAACCAAAAAATCATGAAGAAGCAATTGACTTAAAGTGGTTTCTTTACATAATGATCAAACAATAACATGAAAATTTGGAGGTTTAAATGCACCCTTACTTTATCAGTTGCAGCAGCTGGCATGGAGATGGGCAAACCCAATAAGATTTTCATGGAAGGCATTGGAAAATGAAGAGCACACACTCACTTCACTAACAAAATAGGATAGTAGAGCATTGAACAGAGAGCAAGCATATCTCATATACAAGACACAGGTAAGACCAACCATTAAGTGGAGACCCAAACTTCAAAGCACATGTGACATACCTCCACTGCAGTTTCATGTGCTTGACTATATACAAGATGAAGAGGAAGTAACCCAGACAAATGTTCAGCAACAGATGCCATTGCAGCTTTTATGGGCCTCCTGTCAATTACAGGTACAAACATAGGTCCTGTTAGCATCTGTGCAGAAACTAGCCAGCATTTTGCTCAGTGAGAAAAAGGCAATGAAACTAATATTGGAGTTTTCTTCTTCCCCAGAGTCTCTAATTAGAATCCAAGCTCATAAGTGCTGTGTTTTTAACAATTTCGAGATCAACATTTAAAGCCAAGAGAACTTTTATGTATTCAACAATCTTTTATTGTCAAAAACCATGCTCAACAAAAAGGTGTCTCAAGCTATACACCTAGTGGTCTCTTTACACAGATCAAGGGCATTTTCCTCATTTTTTTCAAATGAGTTGAAGTTAAAACTGTTAAGCAAAACATATCATGACACCTGACCCATGCACTTAAGTGCAAAATAAAATGGTTGTAAAAATGAAGCTAGTACATGTTCTTTGTGCAACTTTAACTTATAGCAGCTTTTCAGAGGAAACCTGTTGAATTTATATGAAATAGCTTCTTAGTATCACTTTCTGCAAGAACTTCCAAGAGCACAAACTATTTTTCTTTGGAGAATCTGAAAGAGTGTGGAAGATAGTCCTATACTGTACGATGATCTACAAAATGCTTAATCAAAGATTGTTGACACATGGCAAGAACTAAAGAAAGTCAAAGCAAGAGATGAGCTTATGCCAATTTGCTTCAACAGCTGACTTTATATCACAGAAATAGAAAGCAAGGAAGAGCTAGCATTTCAACCCGAGTTGAACAAGCAAAGCAATCATTGATGAGGGAAGATCTCAGGATAGTTTGAGATGACCGGAAAGTAAGACTGATGCTTCTGCTAGCAAGAACAGTGAACAAGCTGCAATTGCGATGATATTACGAAACAGTTAAAGCACGCAATTGCTGGCAAGAGGAGAACCTCATTTACTGAAACTTCTTTGTTTATAGTTGAAGATAAAGAGAGAGGAAAGTTTTACTGATGGTTTTGACAAAATAATATGGTTGAAATGATATGTGAAATCGACTTCAACTCTAGTTAACTAGACTTCTATTCAACGGCTAAACTTAACACAGTATTCAAAAATTGAGGAACAAAGTTTTTCAGAACATATCAAAATGACTTATTCACGTAAGCACTCCAGGAAAGAATTTTAATTGCAGTTATAACTGCCTTAACCTTGAGATAACATCATAACAATAATCTGTCAATAATCAACAGCAAGGGCTATATAATTTACCTCAAGTCCAATAGAAGGGACTGTCCATTGCATTGTAGGTGGCTTTCCCATGATGATTCTTCTGACTGAACAACAATTACCATATCAGAAAGTGCCTTTGCCTGGTAATATTTGTCAACCAACACTGGATCACCATGGATAAACCAAAAAATGGGAACCTCCAGTGTGGACCTGCTATGTGCATGTGAACCTGCATCACCAAAGTTATTTCACTTAAAACTCACCCATCCTAGAACAGGTCATGAATTGGGTGTTTAGCAAAAGCTCAAATCTTATACTTCTTTCCTTTTGTTAAGACAACCAGAACTCAAACATAACAAATTCCTCTGTTGCAGCTAAGAAACACCCCCATGGAACAGTCGACCCCGGGATGCAGTAAAGATCTTTGTCTCCCCATTATTTAAGTATCCATTTGAATTGAGGGACTTAGGCTGACATGGAAATGAAATCCTCAGCTCAATTCCCCTCAAATGTTTGGACGACTTAGCAGAGATATCGAATTGACATCACTTTACAGAATTGATGCATTTTAGGCATC